AGGTCCCCAATTAAAAATTATTTACATATTTAGCTAAAATTTATATCACTAATTTCACTAATTATTTTTTCGCAGCCTTTTTTAACATTTTATATCAGCAGGGGTGGCCAATTTTGGTCGATCAAATAAAATAATTATGTATTTTTTTACGTAGGTAGTATGTTTTTCAAACATTTCCCTCAACTTAGTCTACCCTGTAATAAGTCAATAGCGACACATTCCAAGATATAAAGCAGATCTTCTGTGTACAAAAGTTGGCCAACCCTGGTTTATCAAATTGTCTATTTTAATTATTTTTTTCTAGACTTCTAAAATTCTTCATATGTACATATGACTTTCAACATTTTCCATTGTTCCAATATTTTTTAAGACAATTATATTTCTACTAAATTATTCGCTATTCCTAGTATAAAAACCGCTACTGTAAGGCGACATTTGACCCTCGAATACATTTTAATAATATATTTGTTGTAAATGCGGTGCTTACATGTTTAAGGATATACAGATATACTAAGAATTGTTACTGTATATCAGATCACGTGAAAGTTGAGAGAAATTCCGGCCCGTCAACTGCTTTCAGATATGAATTCTGAACTTATGCAATTTGAGTTTGAGACCACTGCTCAAAGGATCTTTATCTAATACTTTTATATTAGACTAAAACATCTTGAGTACGCTCAAGAGCAAGTACAGAACAGTAATAATAATAATGGCACGGGCCCTTAAGAAGTGACAAATTTTCTGTACTAAAATTTTATCTTGAAACATATTGGAACTATAATCTGATAAATAAAATTACTAATATTTCGTTATGTAATTAAATTCCAAGAGCGGTCGTAGCCGCCTGTATCACGAAAATCTTATACGAAAGGTCGTTGGTTCGATTCCCAAAAATTTGTGGTGGCTGTTAAACACGAAAGTGATAGAAATAGGGCCGAAAGAGATTTATATCAATAAATAAATTGATATAAATCTCTTTAATAAAAAAAGAAATAATTAAATTCCAACATTCTAATTGATATTATTCATATATAAATGAAACAATCGAAAATTTAAATAGGATTGAACCCACGTGATAAAAAGCATCTAAAACGATAGATCGACATGTCTAATAACCACCTTCCAAATGACGCAATTACCGGCTTTTATATTACAAAAGTGTCTACTATAATCGGCGCATGTAATAAATAATTTATGTAGAAATATAAAATATTTAATCTGCAGAACACATCTATAAGTAAACTTCGACATTGTAAAAAAATCAAATTTTATTTAATTAACTAAATTTATCGAATTTTTCAATAAATTATTTGTTTTTGTTTGGTTATGATTATGATTATAAAAATATATTTCATTTATTTTTTTTATTTATGTATGTTTAAATGTTTCAATAAATATTATATTTAATTATTTATAATTACATCTAGAAAAATTTCCAATTATCAAATTTGATGATTTTCTGTTTTCATAACATAACGGTATTATTGAGATTACCTTGCATAGAACAATCGTTAAATAGTTTTATTTAGTGTTTTTGCCAAATATATTCAAAAACAAATAATACAAGCCACGCATATTGCCAGATATTATTTTCGTGGACAGACAAATTGTGCCAAACCTTACTAGCATATACAAATAATTACTAAAACGTAACTGAATATGTAGAATATGTTAGTTAAATTATAAAAGTATTAATTTGAAATTAAATAACCTGGCAAAATATATATATCAAATAAATAAAAACAAATAAAAGTGAAAAAAAAAGGCTTATTGATGTTGTAAAACTGTACAAGACTCTTAATTTAGATGCTTCATGAAATCCAGCGCCACGCAGGGAAAAATTGGATAAAGACTGCACAGGCCAGAACGACGTGAAAGCAATAGAAATGAACTATATCCAGAAGTAGATGCTCATAGGCTGAAGAAGAAGTGCTTCATCAATTAATTATTCTTACTAGTAACATCTAATTTGATATCGATGTGAACCCAAAGTAAACAAAAGTTAATTTTAAAAGTCACTGCTTTAACAATACAGTTAATGCAATGACTTCGTTAACAATTTGTTATATAAATATTGCGTCATGCCACGAAACAAAGATTATTTGAATATAAATATAAGGATATTATTTGCCAATTTCATTAATCAACATAAAACATACAAGGGAGCGTTTCTAATTTTATAAATTTCCATGAACCAGATTGTGCATATTTGGAACGATTTACACGAAAAACATACATCATAAAAAATATGATGCGAGCGCGATTGAAGGTTTGATTTATTAATTTGCACGTTTTATCCTTTTCCCTGTGGTTCATCCAACATTGCAAATTGGAAAGCAAATATGTTTGGTTTTCTCAATACACGCGTACCGAGGATTCATCGTAATCTAGGATAATCTGTTACTATTTTTGTATTATGTAATAGTGATGTTCGCATTTTGGAATTATTATATAATAAGTAGTAGCACAGCAATCGGATACTTGATATTATAATTTAAAGCTACGTATAGTACAGATAGTACGTGAATGGGTCAAATGAGAATAAAAATAATAACATTGATTTTCAACCGGTGTGATGTGAAAGAATCTTAGCGAAATTTCCAAATAACTTCATTTAAGTGTGTCATTTAACTCATGTCTCTAGTGTATCTTGGAACAAAAAAAAGTTGAAGTACACTGCTCTAGAGAATAAAAATGATTTCTAAGAAACAAATTATCCTAACACATTCAGCTTCTGCTGATTAAATGTAAATTGTGCCTGTTCAAATAATGATATAATCATTAATTAAACAGCGCAACATTTTTCAAAATATAAACTTAAATTTTATTTAAACAATATAAGTCATCGATGATCTCATTAGTGGAAGGCCATATGAAAGCACTTTATGGTAGAATACAAAAAAAAAACTTGATTCAATAATGCAAAATAATTGACATTGACACAAGTTTCAAAAACATTCATTTAGGCATAACAAATTAAACAGCGGATTCCACAGATTTTTCGTACAAATCATGATTACCGTGGCATTCCACCTAAGCAGAAATTTAGACGTTGTCCATCTCTTAACTTAAAGAAGGATATATTTTGAGCAAATGTTACTTTCGTATTTTTATGCAATCCACATATCTTTTTAAATTAAATCCTTTTCATTTTGTTATAGACAAAGCAAAATTGTACTCATCATGAGGCTTTCCTGCTATTTATACAAATATATTACATGAAATTTCAACCAACGAATATATTTTTACTGCAATATATAGCAATTTAAGAACTTTTATAACAAGTCATTAATATCTCCTTTAGAAAATTTAATTTGTTAAATAAGAAAATAAAATATTTAGGCTTCTAAAAGCCTTTTGTATGTTATTAAACAATACATTTTGTTTATACATATACATTTATAAATAACTTTCACTGAATAACTGATTTATGTAAGTATATATTTACTAATACAATCGCATATTAGTAACAAAATTAAAAGATAATTTAGTAAACGTCATTATAATACGTTTAGAGAATTTTAATGAGACTTAGAATAATGCGGTCTCTTAATTTCAACAATACTTGTATTTGTTAATTTCTCATTTTGTACATAATATGAATGAAAAATATATCTTCTGAGATTTAAAATTTATGAAAAGTTGGAAAATATTATAATATAAATTATTTATTCAGAATTTCTAATATCTAATTAAACTTTAAATTTATTTTTTTGATTGCTTCATATTATCATCTAGTTTAAAAAGTAAAGTAAAAAGATAGAATTCTCATTATATAAGAATGAATCTTACTTGTAAAGAGCCTGGTGCCATGGAAGGTGACTCAACACGACGAGAGCCGTCTGGGATTTGGGATCATGTCTGCAGAAGCCGAATGTCCATTTCGATTCAATATCCGTCAGGACAAAAGAATAATGCTGGATAACATTACTGCAAAAATAAACAAACACACAGTTAATCAATTCGTACACACAACAATTTATTATTTAGAACTAAAAACCGCATTTACCGCAAATGTGGAATTAGTTAATCTTAACGTCTGTTACATTGCTTTAATATCGCTACTGTTAGAAAATCGGAGAGGAACAGTAGATCAATTTGCTTTAGAAATGCGACCGGACGCGTGAATACACCAGATAGGAAATGCAATTTATTTGAAATCTATTGATATATGACCTACATATGTACACTATAGACACGTTCGAGTATGAATGATCCAATAAGGTCCAAACAAATTTGTTATGCATTGCATCCTGGCAGGAACCAAATTAAAAAAATACAACAAACCAGAAATGATACGTTGCGTAATACACAGTGAAAGCCCGTGCGAAAGCCAATTTTGCAATCGTTGTTGTACTCCTCCGGTCCTATTGTTACTTTCAATTTGAACGTGCTTGCAATGTTTAAAAACAAACACACAAATAGGAATCATTTCTCCAATTTTAATAATGCAACGGTACCAACAACATCGCGTAAGAAAAGGACTTACTACTGAAAATGATAAGATTGATAACAGAATATATACAATGACTCCAAAATATTAGTAAAATTGATATTAACAACACACATTTTCAATAATTACACTTAGTAGTATTCAAATGTATGCAGAAATAAATATAAAATAGCCGACTTAATCCAACAAGAATATTAATGTAATTAATAATCCATGAAGGCAATTGCTTACTTTTCAAACGTGTAGGGATATGCAAATTTGGGTACCGATTTGAGCACTTCCTCATCCTTGTAGTTTTCAGGAAACTGTTGTATAATCCATGCATCTTTATCGCTACTGGGCGGAACGATCTCGCAGAAACATTCAAAGAAATGACTGACATTGACTCTGTGAGCAATAGAAAAAATACCAGTTACACCTTCCCGCTGTATTTATGTATTCCGCTGTACACAAGAAATTCCGAGAGATACTTAAGTGTACGGTACCTTAATCTGGAAAACATATTTAATCCAATACGATTTATTTCATTTGACCATAGCGAACCAATGGATCGCGAAACAAGTAGTTGATGCTAAAACACAAATATCATCACAACGATGCACACATCCCAATGAGTTTAGTATAGGATCATTCGGTGGTAAGTAGACACCCGACGAACAGACGTACATACAACAAACACGAACTCGAGACTGACAGCCACTGACAGCAGGTGAAGAAACACTGCACTGCAAAATGGTGATTAATATTGACAGCTGTCACATTGCTCTAGTAGGTCGCTGCATTATCAACGATTGGAAACTGGCGAAATTGTGCGCGGCACAGGCTAAATGAGAGAGGTGGTGGAAAAGAAGAAGAAGAAGATTATCAACGATTCTGTTATTATCTGTATAGGTGGTAGATAGAGCGGAATCAAAGTCATAAATAAAACTCTAAAAAATATGAAAAACAACAAAACAACCATATGTATGAATTCGAAATTCAATTAAACAAACTCTCCTAAGAGTTAAGTAATGTGTGTTGTTTATGAACTTCAATTTTTTTTTGTTGGTCATCCTGTATTTCGTTATTTGGTTTGATTCAGTTTGATTTGGTTACAAAAAGACTAATTAGCCGTGACAAAATAAGTGAAATAAACAAAGCGGCGTAATATATAAAACTAATTATTTCTAAGGGATTTTTAATAACGGTGGAATTATGAGCAGTTATCATGATCTTGAGTTGTCGCAATCCAGCACTGAGAAAGAACATTATCATCCATCTTCATCAACATTGCTATCAGACACATCTGATCTTACAAGACGAAGAAGGTATTTCTTTTTTTATTATCCTGTATCATATATTTTCTATTCGACCAATTAATTTTTTAGTTCAAGTAGATCAATTAAGAGAAAGAAATTTGACGATGAGTTGGTTGAATACAATACTCCCAGCGTGTCTACAGGAAAAGTGACTGTAAGTATACTCAATATTAATATTATTTTGGTCATAATTGACTTATTTATAGACAAATAGATCAAGAACCATATCGTCGCATAGTGATTTTTCAATTGGACCTCCATCAACAACTCCTCCAATTCCAGTGGTGCCAGCTTCTTTGCCACCTGCTGAAGTAACAAAACGTAAGAGCCTGCCTAAACCATTGTCTAGCAGTTCACGTCGCAACAAGAAAAACAAGCCACAGAATCAAATTGCCACAAAGGATTTGGGACGGTGGAAGGCTACTGATGATTTGGCTTTGATTATTGGTGTGCAGCAAACCAATGACATTCGAACTATTCATCTGGGTACAAAGTTTTCATGTCGTTTCACAGTTCAAGAGCTGCAACAGCGTTGGTATGCCCTTCTGTATGATCAAGCAGTGTCTCGAGTTGCTGTGGCAGCGATGCGCAACCTGCATCCAGATATGGTTGCTGCAGTACAAGATCGTGCACTCTGGAGTACACAAGAAGAGCAGATGCTTTCTACTATTAAGTCTCAATCAAATCCAAATGTGAATACGTTCTCGGACATGTTAGCACAGCACCCGGACGTGTTTTATTCGGGAAGGACAGCTATCTCGCTGCAAAGGCATTGGAATACCTTGAAAATGTACAATCTGCTGCCTGATCAAATTAGACAACCCATGCCTACACCATATACAACGAGACCAGTTATGTTTTTTAGCGATACCGAGGAAATGATTCAAGATTCAGAACTGAATGAGCCTCCAGATGAAGGCTTGGATAGAGAATTACGTTTACAGCAGAGAAGAAATACTAGAGAAATTAGGCAATTGGAAAATGAAGTGGGAAGGTAATATCTTATAAAAGCAGATTGTTAAAAATAATTATTTACCACTGAATAATTATAGATGGAATGTTTTGGTGGATAGTGTCACTGGTTCATGTCCAGGCGAAATGGACTCGCAAACGTTGGCTGTATTAAGAGGACGAATGGTGAGGTATTTGATGCGAAGCAGAGAAATTACTATTGGCCGTATAGCTAAGGGACATACAGTTGACATTGATTTATCTCTAGAAGGGCCGGCGCACAAAATATCTCGGCGCCAAGCAACTTTAAGGTGCATATTTTTTTAACATTAAACTTCTTATAATAATAAAAATAAATATATTTATTTTGATTAGATTGAAGAATACTGGCGAATTCTATTTGTCCTCGGAAGGAAAGAGACCTATATACGTAGACGGTCGTCCTATCACAACTGGGAATAAAGTTAGACTGTATGATAACGCAACAGTGGAAATAGCTTGTTTGCGCTTCATTTTCAGCATAAACCAGGATCTTATCAGGGTTATACATAATGAAGCAGTAAGATATAACATGGCCTAATTTTATAGAATTAATTGATTTCATAATTTAGAAAGAGTATGTTTATTTTTTTAAATAAAACGCTGTGAAGGTGATTGAAATAACTGAAAACGAATTTTATTAAAAATAATTTAATTTAACTGAATTTCATATAAGCATCATTTTTAGAATACGTAAAATAGAAAGTCGTAACATTTGTTCCCCGAAGTATCTGACATGGTATTGTTAATTTCTTTCTTTAAATCTACCTGGTGTAAGGCCTCTTTGTAGTTGGAGATTTAGCTTGAAAAAAAAAACTGGTCATGAAATTCTGAAAATTTGTCAAAGGAGTTTTTTAAAAAAGATGTTGAGAGCACATAAACAACAGATCCAAGTGTTTGGCGTGAGAAAGAATTGCGTGAATTGCTGGTGTATAGTTCATTACGAAAGACGTTGGACTGTTTTTTTAAATTTAACCCTTTAACATACGAATAAAATATAAGCTATGTAACGAAAAAATCGTTGATTTTATACAGTTCCTTTACCATTTAATTGCTTCATTAGCAAATAATTCAAGAAATACTAGACTACTTTTTCTCCTTGTTTCTTTTACTATAATTCCAAAGTTATTATTCAGTACTAGTAGGAAGTGTTAAATTGACTCTATGTTTTTCCAAAACCAAAGCATCCCATGATTTTCATTAAATGGTTTTATATTATTATTTATTTCTTTATAATTTTACAGATTTAAAACATTACTACTTATTATTTTTACTGCGTAATTAAAAATTCTGAAATGAAATTTAGACGTCTGGTATACGTTTTTCTATTAACAATTTTGTTTTTCTTTACGGCCCTATTTCTGCCACTTTTTCTGTTTTTATCGACCTCCCAATTGATTTAATTGTTGATGAGATTTGAACCTGTCACCGTTTTATCATATTTTTATGATACAAATGAAAAAGTTTATTTCGATATCATTTAAATTCGGCAAAACATTTAAAATGATTAGATGGTAGAATTTTGTTTTGAAAAAATAATCAATAGTGTACTTCTCTTCTTCTTACTTACTGTTGGCAATCTTGGAAAAGTGACTTGGGGAATTTAATCAAAGTTTGGCAACGTTGCTTGCGCGATACGCGCATGTGCGACGCTCGATGGTTCAGTTGTATCAAGTTGTATTTGGTTCATTATTTTTGTACATGTGTTGTGTTGAGTGCACTGTGTTAACAATGAGTGTTAATAAATTAGGGTGATCGGAGTTAAAGAAAGATTCGATGATGGTCCTTGACCATTTTCAATTTAGTTGTTTCTCCATATTAATTAAGACTTTTTGGATAAAAGGACTGTGGATACCTGAGAAAGCTTCAAACGCATTTGAAGCTTTCGAGGCCGTGTTCATGGAACTATGAACCTGGACTCGTTGTCTTTTACTTTGTCACAAATCAGTTATTTAGTTGCTTCTATTAACAAAAAGAACCAAAAGCAAGTCGTCGCCGATTTATATAAGGTGAGAATTACGGATCTGCGAAAATAAAATACTATTTTTTTCTTCCATACGTGATGACAAATAACACTTGACACCGCCATATTGACCGTTTTCGCTATTCATTTAATACATTGTTGCCATCTCACGTTACCAAAACATTACCAAAGTGGTTTAATATTTTTCCCAGATCGCTAATTATACAACCCTTTCTATATTTATACTTTAAATAATCGCAAAATTGTATTTGGGCAGACTAAAGTTTAATTGCTCTCAATATTGCTAGCTCTTCCTGCAACATCTGGCAACTCTATTTGTTCTATTTTAGAAGTAAAAAACGTATCTTTCTACTGCAATCTACTTTAAAGTAATATAGTTAGTAGTATTTTGTCTTTGACAATGTTTATTTTTGCTGCAATAACAATCGTGTAATGAACATGTTTATTTTTTAAATTTTATCTATATCACTTTAAGACAGTGAAGTGTTTATTTCTTTGTGAACACATATTAGTTTTTAATCGTAATTTTATGGACATGTATATAAATAAAAAAAAAGTTGGCATGTTAATGTTTATTATTTGCTTAGCATGTTATAATTATGATAAGAAATAGGAATCATTTTTCAATAATTATATTATTCATTCATAATTTTGCCTAAATAGAATAAGTAGCTGAATATTTTTTTTGTTAGCAAGTTTTATAAATGATGTATATATCATATTTCATACAAATAAATTTCCATTTCCTTTAAATGGTTTCTTAATGCAAATTTCATGTTTGAATGTGAATTGGGTTGTATAAGCGCGTAGTTGGTTGTCGAACGGGGCGCTGCCGTCAGTGCCTCTATTTATAGAACAAAGGTGTTTTGATTCACGTCTAGAGTTCTCCGTTTCGTTGCAGTCTTTGCAGTGTTTTGACGTTCCTCGACGTTTTTGTTTTGTTTTTGTTTAGTTTTTCCCTTTTTATCGCACGGTAAAGTGTATATTTGTATGTTTTTTTTTTGTATATTAATGTCACGATGGCATTGAAAATGCAAAATCACTTCGATGCTCTCGTGTACAATGAGTATATCGAAACTATTCTAACCGTGTATTTCTTGTAACAGTTGGTGGATCTGCATGGGCTAGAAGCCGATCGTCACTTGCTCCAATGCCTCTTTTCGTCGGTGGACTTCAGTGAAACGTCCAGCAAGATTAGTGCAGCAACTGCTCACAATCAGGTGTTATTAGACTATTCCTCAACTCTTCTAAATAAACCAGCTCTAATAACGTCTGTCTGTTACATTACAGATAATCCATTAAACAATCAAAAGGTAAGCAGTGTACACTATTTCTGCAGAATATAGTTTTGTAATTGTATTTCACCAGTTTAACCTCAAACATTTGTCAATATAATTATTACTTCTAGATATTATGAAGAAAGCCATCTTGGTTTTACATTACTTTACCAGGGTTCTGTAAACTTTTTTTTAACCTATTACCCCAAATTGTATATCATTTTAAACCTCTATTTGGGGTAATTTGTCCCAGTTTACTGACCCCTGATTTAAGTAGTTACTACAAGTAATAATTTAAATAAATGCCTACTTCTGCTTATTATAGCTAAATAATTTAGAAGTGACATTCTTCAATAACAATGTTAAATGCACAATATTCAATGAATTCATAATTTTAATATAATTTGATTTTATTTACTTATGATCTGTGAAAATATTTCTTTTGTGTATGCAAAATATTGTCATTTTATATTATTTTTGTTTATGGTTCTGATTGTTTTTGCAGAGCCTGAAAGTTGGACCTCATTTTTTTCAACAACTGTGTAAGTGCCTTCGCCTCTCACCTGTCCAGGAAGTAGTGTTCGCACTTGCCTTACTCCATTCGTCCAACTTTGACGTGTCGAGTTTGGCGCAGTCACATTTGCGTGGCTGCGTGCCCAGTCTCGTCCAATCGTACATCGATACCGAAGGTAGCGGTCACCAACAAGAGGGCGGTCTTCATGAGACCACGCCCGAGGTCTTACATCTGATCTTGTCCTTGATTGAAAATTCGCCCAAGGAGGTCGGACTTTCTAGTGAAGTACACGCCGCCTTGCTCAAAGCGTTACAACGTGACTTTCCTAAGGACTTCGTACCAATCGTCTTCGCACCGTTAGTATATTCTCAGCAGTGTGAGCTTGCGCCTGACATCATGGGTTCGGAAGGCCCCGGTTTATCCGGGGGTATGCTCGATACACCATTGGCCGATCTAGTATCAGAAATGGGCTATGGATTCACTTCATCATTGGAAGAATGCAGAAATAATCTTGTGAAGTTGAAACCTAGAGACATAACACCCGCTCATATAGCGAGGGTTGTATCTGTGATGAGCCAGACGTTAACCGGTTTGGACCAATCACAGATGAAAGGAGGACCAGAAATAAGAAATACGTGGAATATCGATGTGTTTGTGCAGGCTCTTAAGGAAGTAGTGCCTAACTTGACGTGGAGTAATGTGATTCTAGAATTAGACCACCCGGACTTTCTTATAAAAGACAGACAAAGTTTAATTTTTCTTATCACCCTATTACGGCTAGGCTTGCAAACATCTGGTTTCCATTCTGAAACCTTTCCAATTGATCATATATACCGACGCTGGTCAAACATTGAAGGACAACTAAGTTTGGTATCGAACATCTTGAAAAACCCAGATGTGTTTTGTTTTGCAGATTATCCTTGCAATCCGGTGATTGTCGATGTTCTGAAAACTCCTCCAGAGCTCGATGGCAAAGATCTTGCAAATTGGCGTTCGATGAATGTCATCGAGTTACTGCTGACTATTTCCGAATGTGGCTGGTACACACAGGTGCAAGAACTATTTAAATATCCTATGCAAGCTTGTCCCGATGTACTCGTTCTTGCTCTGCTTCAAATAAACGGACCCATCACCATGCTAAGGCAAGAGCTTTTGAAAGCATTGATACCTATATTTTTGGGTAATCATCCCAACTCTGCAATAATCCTTCACAGTGCTTGGCACACCCAGACATTAAATATAAAAACGATTATTATGCACTCAATGGCTGAATGGTATGCCAGAGGAGACTGTGATCAAGCTAGATTGTCACGTATTCTGGACGTAGCACAAGATCTCAAAGCGCTATCAATGTTGCTGAACGTGCAATCGTATCCATTCATCATTGATTTGGCGTGTCTTGCATCGCGCAGGGAATATTTGAAATTGGAGAAATGGCTGACAGATAAAGTACGAGAACATGGAGACACTTTTGTGTCGGCTTGTATCAAGTTTTTGCATAGACGATGTCCACAAATAACTGGAAAACTTGATGAATTGAAATCGCAAATGGCTTTGCCCAGCGAAACGCTCACCACCATGATTTTGTGTATACAGTCTTGCATGCATACATATAATATGAGTCAGGAATGCCAAGAAGCAATTTTGACAATGTACAACAACTGTACACTATTAATTAAGAATAGACAAGCTCAACAACCAACAGCATCTATGTTGAGAACTCACCGGGGAATGGACACCGGACCTTTCAATCCAACGAACATAGGTCAATTGTACAACACCAATTCCGTTGATTCGATTGGTAACCTCGGAACCAATTTGGCTAATATGAGTCTAGGTGGTGTGACAAATTCGGCATTTAATTTTTCGACCGGATTAGGACAGTTAGTTCAATCTCCAGGTTCACCGTCGCGCATCTTAGGTACAAACAACAATTTCCCAATTATTCCATTGGGACATCAGGGACCTGTAGGAACTGGTGCTTCCCATGTACCCAATGCCATGAATGCTCTAAACAGAATAACGCCAAACCCTGGATTAGAGAAACCACGAATTCAACAAGATAATAATTTATTCCCCGAGATTGCACCTAATGTTTCCAAGGACATTGAAGATGAAGCCAATAGTTATTTTCAAAGAATTTACAATCATCCACCGCATCCTACGCTATCTATTGACGAAGTTCTAGAAATGCTGAAGAGATTCCAGGATTCCAATGTTAAACGAGAAAGAGAAGTAAGTACTGTTTACTAAGTCTTAAACATTTTATATTTATTTATTTTTTTAGGTTTTCAATTGCATGCTACGTAATTTATTTGAAGAATATCGTTTTTTCCCACAATATCCGGAGAAAGAGTTGCACATTACAGCTCAATTATTTGGTGGTATCATAGAAAGGGGGCTCGTCACTAGTTACATGACGTTAGGATTGGCTCTTCGTTTCGTACTGGAGGCACTACGAAAGCCAGAGGGTTCAAAAATGTACTTCTTTGGTATTGCAGCTCTAGATAGATTTAAGACCAGACTGAAAGATTACCACAAGTACTGCGAGCATGTTCGGGCGATACCTCATTTTAATGAATTTCCACCACATTTGCGAGAGTATGTTGAATATGGATTGCAGAGCATGGAACCTCCTTCTGCTCCTCAAGGACCGGTGTTGCCGGCGACTCTGGCTGCTATGCTAGGACCAGCTTCTGCCCAAGGATTCAAGAGCACTTCAGCAACTCCCACCGCTCCTAAGGCGAGTACAGCGGCCGTTGCAAGTTTGGGTAGTCGACCATCCATTGCAAATGCAACAAATATTGACACCTTGCTAGTGGCGACAGAACAAGAAGAGAAAATCACTTCACCTCCCGAGAGTCTTCAGGACAAAATTGCGTTTATTTTCAACAATTTAAGCCAGATTAATTTACAGAAAAAATGTGATGAATTACGTGATATTGTTTCCGAAGAATATTGGGCTTGGATTTCACAATATTTAGTAATGAAACGAGCCTCTATCGAATTAAATTTCCATGTATTATATTCCAACTTTTTGGATGTGCTAAAAGTTCCCGACGTTAATCGAATGGTAACAAGGGAAACGTTTAGAAATATCAAAGTGCTTTTAAGATCAGATAAGGTTATCGCCAATTTCTCAGATAGGTCTTTGCTAAAAAATTTAGGCCATTGGCTTGGTATGATGACCTTAGCACGCAACAAACCTATTTTACAAATAGACATAGATCTGAAGAGTCTTTTAATTGAAGCGTATAACAGAGGTCAACAAGAGCTTCTGTATATAGTTCCTTTCATTGCTAAAATATTGGAGTCATGTGCAAAAAGCAAAGTGTTTAAACCACCGAACCCTTGGACAATTGCTATTATGAACGTGCTCGCTGAAATGCATCAAGAGCCAGATTTAAAATTGAATCTGAAATTCGAAATTGAAGTACTATGTAAAACACTCGATATTGACATTAGTCAGCTTAAACCTTCGAACATTTTGAAAGATCCAGAATCCATGAGAAAAATTGAATATCAGCTTCAGACGCAAGCGGGCAAGAAGGATGTCGTTCAAGTAACTTCGCAGATGGCTTTGCAAACATCGAATCTGAACGAATCTGATATGCTATCCGGACAATCGACATCCACACCGCCTGTACCACAAAACAACAGCACTACACCCACATCGTCAGTTGCAGCCCCGGAACCAAGATTTAGTTACATGGACATACAGTTGACTGGAACAACTGCTATACAGACGCACGTGACTATCAACCAAAATATTGTTTTATTCCAAAGTCATCCGCAATTGAAATCATTGGTAAAACCATCCATTGAAAGAGCCGTTCAAGAATGGATTATTCCAGTTGCAGACAGATCCATTAAAATTGCATTGCAGACGTGCGAACAGATTGTAAGAAAAGATTTTGCTCTCGATCCAGATGAAAATAGAATACGTACCGCTTCGCATTATATGGTAAGAAATCTGACTGCTGGAATGGCGATGATTACGTGCCGCGATCAGTTATTGGCATCCATTAATTCACAAATGAAGATAGCCCTCCAAAGTGCACTTATTAGCGCAACTTCACAACAAAAAGAAATGATGGAACAAGCAGCTAATATTATTGCTCAAGATAATATGGAATTGGCATGTGCTTTCATTCAAAAAACAGCAATTGAGAAAGCAATTCCCGAAATTGACAAACGTTTGATAAGTGAATTTGAGTTGAGAAAAATATCCAGGCAAGATGGAAGACGTTACTGCGACGCTATAGCTTTAACATACCAAGCCGAGAGAATGCCAGAACCCATACGCCTTAAAGTCGGCGGTATAACGAGCACTCAGATGACTGTTTACGAAGAATTTGCACGCAATATTCCAGGATTCCTGCCAATTTCAGATCGTGAAAATAACCTCTTTATTAACAAACCTGCCGTCAACTTGGAGGTTGCTGTACAGCATCCATCAACACCCTTCCAGGTTGCACAGGCTTCTGATGAAATGGCTTCACTTTGTGAAAAATTAGCACTTGAAGTCGACCAATTTATTGTTGCCACAAGCGGACAATCCAATTATGCCGTCATGAATAACACTATGATGATGATTCGTGATTGTCTTATGTACACCATGCATAATAGGGAATTAGGATCATCAATCGCAATTGTTCAAAAGGTAAAATTTAAGCAATATTTACGATTATATTTATTATTATATTTATTTTCCTATTTTTAGTGTGTTGAAGGCTTACAAGATACTGTGGTTCAACACAACGAACATGACGTAATTTTGAAATTCCGCGAAATTACAATCAGAATCTTGAAATCCTTGCAAGATCCAAGGGCATTCGGACAACAGTGGGTAATTAAACAAGTGACCAGATTTGTTACTGAATTTCGAGATGATGTCCGAAGTAACGAAGCTGCAATCGAGACACTAATCAGGGCCGGATTAGTTAATATGCAGCAGTTTGATCTATCTTTAGCTCAATTCATGGAAAATGGACCGAATTACAGAGCTTTAAATCTTGGCACTACCCTCGTGCAGAATTTGGTTATCGATGACCGTTCCAGTAACATCGGCGAATCTGATTTCTATAACACGATTGATATGATGATTAAAATTAATCAATTAATTCGACAACCGCCAGAGACATTGACGAACATTTTGGATATGTTGAAACAACATCACGAACAAGGCGTTTTTCTCGGAGATCGCACTACCGGTGGTCCAATAGTACACATTCATAATGGAATTTTACAAGTAAGTTATAGGGTTTATGCATTTTTTAATTATTATATTGATTATTTGCATGTTTAGGTTCGTTCTGCGCCAAATTACGAGGACCCACCTGGATTAGTAGAAAAGACTGATTTCCTAATACGCGATTGGATTTCGGTTTATAATTCTCAACCGACTGGTCGCGATTCGACAAAAGCATTCAGTTTGTTTGTACACCAAATGAATTGTCAAGGCATCCTTAAAACTGACGATCTGATTACGAGATTCTTCCGGCTGTCCACGCAATTGTGCGTCGAGTCTGTATATAGAAATATGAGTGACCAAAATCTGACTGGAAATCACTTGAGAGTTAAGTGCTTTAATACCTTGGATGCCTTTGTGCGTCTAGTCGCACTTCTGGTGAAACATTCCGGGGACAGTACCAATAGTACAACAAAAATACATTTGCTCAATAAAGTACTTGGCATAGTCGCTGGATGTCTGCTTCAGGATCATGAGCAGAGAGGAACCGAATTCCAACAGTTTCCATATCACCGCATATTCATCATGCTTTTCTTGGAGTTGAATGTTCCAGAACCAGTGTTGGAAACTATCAATATGCATGTGCTGACTGCATATTGTCATACTTTGCACATTTTGAGACCTTCGAAAGCTGCAGGGTTCTGTTACGCTTGGCTGGAATTAGTATCACATCGAGTATTTATGGGCAGGATGCTAGCTTCGACGCCCCAACAAAAGGGTTGGGCTATGTACGCTCAATTACTTATTGATCTATTCAAGTATTTGGCTCCATTCTTACGCAACGCTGAGCTTGCCAAACCCGTCACCATGCTGTACAAAGGAACTTTAAGGGTGCTACTAGTTTTATTACACGATTTCCCAGAGTTTTTGTGTGATTATCATTATGGTTTCTGCGATGTGATTCCACCGAACTGCATTCAGATGCGCAACTTGATATTGTCGGCATTTCCAAGAAACATGAGGCTTCCCGATCCATTCACTCCGAACCTTAAAGTTGATATTTTGCAAGAGATTGCTTTTGGGCCAAGAGTTTTGAATAACTTTTCATCTATGATTACTCCAATCACATTTAAAAAAGACCTAGATTCTTACTTGAAACTAAGGGCTCCAGTTACATTCTTATCTGAATTGAGAAGTAATTTACAAGTGTCCAATGAGCCAGGAATGAGGTATAATATCCCTTTGATGAACGCGCTGGTTCTCTATGTCGGCACCCAAGCGATCGGTTTCATTAGGGGTAAGACTCTTACTCCGAACATGCAAACCATTGCCCACAGTTCACACATGGACATCTTCCAAAATCTTGCTGTCGATCTGGATACCGAGGGAAGATATCTGTTTCTGAATTCGATTGCGAACCAACTGCGGTACCCCAACAGTCATACCCATTATTTCTCATGCACACTGCTTTACCTATTCGCTGAAGCAAATACTGAAGCTATTCAAGAACAGATTACCAGGGTTCTCCTCGAAAGACTCATCGTGAATAGACCGCATCCATGGGGACTTTTAATCACATTCATTGAGCTGATCAAGAATCCTAACTATAAATTCTGGAATCATGAGTTTGTCCATTGCGCTTCAGAAATCGAAAAGTATGTCGAATAATCGTTTATAAGCAATAATACATACTAATTATCTTTCTATTTTAGATTATTTGAATCTGTGGCGAGATCGTGCTTCGTCCAGAAAACTGCGATCCAAGCTGAAGGAGAGCTGCAAGAGTGATAGCCGATAGTGATCTTTATTATTATTGTTATGGAGGATGTATTAGTCGCGCATATTCATTTATTTTCTCTTTATTACCATTAATTACTTTTCCGTTTTTCTACGATGAAGTTCGTTTCATTTTTTAATTATTATTATTTAAACATTACTGTTCCAGTTGGCAGATTATTTTTTCACTTCCAATATTTTTCCTTTCATATTTGGGAATTTAGTATTTAAGTAGTGTAGATATAACATAGATTTACTAAATAAAGAAATGTAATATATATTACATAGGTATTTTTAAGAAACTTTTCATGTAATTTGTAATTATATAAATATAACAAGTAGCTGTAATAAATGGTTTTCAATGTTTTAAGCAGACATTTATGTTTTTTGTTTATTTTTTAAATTATAATCTTTTTGTTTTCTGTGTAAATAACATTGTGAGAATATTATATTCAAATTTTCGGTAAGAAGAAGAAAAAAGTACAAAATGTTGTTGTTAGATGTCGCTTAATTTTTAAGAGAACTTTTTGCAATAAAATTAAATATTTTATGAACGTATGTTTAGATATTTTTTTTCATATTTACTTAACTGGGTCGTTTTTAAAATTAAAATTTTCATAGTACTTTAAAAAAAAGCAAATTATATAATACCAAGATATTTAATATATATAATGAAATAATTATGTTCCTGTTTTAATCATTCAATTTATTTTCATAATTAAATGTTTCAAGAACCAAATGAAAAAAACAATAGAAGAGTGAGAGAAAATATTTCTTCGACAAAGCTTGCAACACATCGCCATACATTTCAAATATAACATTTATTATACTTACTAGAAAATAATAATATTCAACTTTTCAATCCTATAATTTAATTATATTTTTATCCAACTAAACGTTGTTTTCAAGACGAAACAAACGAATAGTCATTTCGACTTTGCAATAGAATTATTATCTTTGAGTTTTAATGTACTAATAAATCATGTGGAATAATAAAAAAAATAAATATATTAAGTGAAGTCGATTTATTTATTATGATTTTTTTTGTTTCTTGTTTTTCTTGCCGCTCTCTATTTCTGTCAATTTGTGTTTCGTCTCCATTTCAGTGAGTGGAGCAATACTAAATCCTTCGATATGCGGCTTAACCAATTGCAGTATGAATTTTTCATGCTGAATATTCTTTGAGTCTAGGGTTAACCTAACAATTACGGGATCAAAAGCATGCAATACAATATCACCAGCCGTTTGGGTTTGATGGTCTTCATCATAAGTAAATGGTGATGTTTTGCCCTCTTCAGAAATATATAGGGTGCACTCAAGACCGTATTTCGGTATCAAAATTTGCAATGCGTTCTTTTTCACAAATAGCACATAACCCTCTTCATCTTGCAATTTACCCCTAAAAAATAACTGAAACAGAAATTATACATTACTTTAATTAGAGAAAGAAGAGCATGTAATATTATAATACTAACGTGAGTGTTGAACGCTACTGAAGCTCTTCCGGCGTATTGAGCCATGCGATTTCTGTAATTCAAATTTTTACACAGATCAGTGGATTTATGCTTATCTAACAGATCCGGGTAAGTGCAATCCGCACCGATAGCCACAGCTAATAAGCGATGCACAATAATATCAGCGTATCTCCTAATCGGAGACGTGAAGTGCGTGTATAATGGTACAGCCAGACCGTAATGGAAATACTCGTCTTTCTGGTACATGCCACTACTGAAATACACAGCTTGCATCATACAGCGAGTCGCCAGTATTCTCAACATTGTATTCAAAAATGGATTGTCTTCTCTAATAGCTTCATCCAGCGATGCAGCCAAATTCTTGCCTGAATCGATCTTTATGGCGAAACCCTACAACATAAATTAAGTCAAAACAAAATAAATGTAAAACATGTTAGGTAGATTTATTACCAAATGATTTCCTGCCTTGACCAATGGATCGAAATTATTTGGAGGAGGTGTAGGATGCCGTCTGAGCAAAGCGCATTCAGGAAACTCCTTCAAGATCTTCTGAGCCACGCTTATATTAGCTAATAACATGAACTCTTCTACCATCGAGTTAGTCTCAAACAGTTTCTTTGCCTCGACACTTATAGGGTCATGGGTTTCAGAATCCATAAGAATTTTAACCTCAGGGGATGCTAGAACCAATGCACTAAAAAAACAATAAAAAATTATTGATACAAATTGATAAAAGCATAAAGGTACCCCTTATCCAAACGACCCCTTTTCAGAATTTTCGCTAAACTGTTCAAGTTTCTCAAGGATTGCGCTATTGAGTGCACTTGGTGCTTATCGTCTATGACCATTTGGGCCTCCTCGTAAGTCATCGCTTTTTTGGATTTGATTATACTTTTGTGGAACCTAGTTTCCAATATGTTTGCCTCTTTGTCCATAATCCAAACGCATGAAAAAGCGAAGCGCTCTTCACCGCCTCGCAGCGAGCATAAATTGGAGCTGAGCAGTACTGGGACCATATCAATTCGGTTGTTGACAAGGTAGACGGTTGTGGCCCGATTCGAAGCCTCTATGTCCAAGGCGTTGCCAGGTCGAATAAAGTGCGAAACATCTGCGATATGAACCCCTACTTCCAGTTTATCGTCCTCAATTTCACGACAGTGTAGAGCGTCATCTATGTCTGTACAACCAGGAGGATCTACGGAGCAAATATCCAAGCCTCTTAGATCTACTCTAGCAGCAATATCCTAAAATTCGAACAATATCGTAGTCGAAACTAAGTGCATTTTTGGAAACACTTACCCCCTCTTTAATAGTCCAAGGTAACTTAGGTAAGAAGCTGAGAACTTCTTCAGAAAACTTGCTATGTGGTACATCATGCTCCAATAAGACAACCTCATTTTCCGTCGCTTGATCTCCAATTTTGCCCAAAGCTCTTACGAAATGACCCTTAAATAATTGAAAATATTAAATTAGAAATATATATATAGTAAACTTTAAACTATAATATTACAGTCGGATATCTAGAATGCCTGGGCCAAGTATCGATAGCCACGATAATCTTCTGCGTTCGCAAGAACTCTGCCTGTCGAGTTTCTATTCTAACTTTAGGAATTTTCCTATCTGCCGGTACAAATAAATGAAATAAACCATCCATATTACTTGGCTGCAGAATTCCACAGTACTGGCGCCATTTCCTTCTCACAATGCCAACTACCATGCCAGTAGGTTGTGCATTTGCCTTTTTCTGCGTTTTCTTCAGGACCTTCTCCTTTTCCAGCACCTCGTCCACGCCTTCGGTAACACTCTCATCTTCCAAAATAATATCGCTAGGGCTAATCCACTCATCTTTGCTTAATATTTTTATAGCAACAAAGTCGCCGTCAACAGCTCTGTTAAGTCCAGCCCGACCCTGAACGATTACCTTTAAATAATGGTCATTAATATATATGATAGTTACTAACACCTCTCAAAAAATTACTGGTTCCTCAAATTCATCAACATTAACTGAAGCTTCCAAGAAGTTAGATGTTGATGCGCGAAAAGTGCCTTGATGTAAACTACCATCTTTAATTCCCTGAATTATATCAACAGTTGGTAAATGAGGTGGATAAAAGTCATCAGAATCAACAACTGTATGAAAATCTTTCCTCGCCAATTTATCTTGCAAATGCTTAGAATTTTCAAGATTCTTTACATAGTCAGTAACTAAAACAATTACATTGCATCCTCTAATAACTAAATTAAATCAAAATAACTCACTAGTGCATGTTTTGATTTTTTCATTTCTGGCAGTATTACGATTGCCTCTATCGTCAGTGATAAGGACAAACTTCTCATTCGGCATGTGCTTCATATACCAAGTACAAGCTTTCCTAATACATCTATCATTAAAATCATTAATCAATTCTCCTTTCTCTTGGTTGATATAAGTATCTCTAAAAAGGTAAGACTATAACAAAATTCTATAATTTTAATAATATCAATGTACTTATGATGGTCATTGGTGAAAATATAAAAATGTCTTGTAGGGTTTTCAATGATACTCATCAAACGTTTGTAAACTGGTAGTGATCGATGTTTCACTTCTTTTAGGACAGTATGCAAAATAATTACATTACCAAATACATCCTCCTCCAAAATATCAATCTTAAAACAAAGACAATTAGCTTTAGTAGAACAAACACCAAGAATCTAACCTGATCTAAAATAATATTAGTGTCCAAGATTATGTAATGATTGAACTTGAATAGATTGTTCTTATTATTAAAACCGCCTGTGAGTGAAGTATCAAGCACCTCACAAGATTTACAGGATTCCAATCCACAGAAGATATCATCACGAATATAGTGTTCGCGAATATTCTGAAATCAGTAAACATCTGTATTACTAAACAAATTATAAATTAACAACAACGTACTTTTAAGTAGTTTCCCACTTTGTTCTTTTTAATGAAAGCTCGCGTTGAAAACATTTTAAGAAAAAAAAACAATCTTCTAGGTTATGTTTATAACATGCAACATTTATAGGTTATGATGAAGTGTTAGGAATATTTATATTATGGGCCGATCAATAGAGGGCGCTACACGAATCTGCATTGCCAACAGCAAGAATCACATCATCAAAAGAACTACCGAAACCGTTGAAGAAACGTGAAACATCGATTGCGCGCTCTGCTGACTATACTGTAGAAGATAAATTAATACAAAGTTCCATTCTTTTGTTGTTTTAATAGACATCCTGACCCTATTTCTAAGATGAAGTTCAACTCAACACGTTGAGCTCATTTTATTAATTCTTCTCTTCTTCTTTCAATAATGAGCTTCCTCCTGGAAACCCCTTCCCATTTGGCAGGGTCCTGTCGACCCGTTTGCCAGTCGCTTATCGGTGGGATCCTTTACTATCTACAATAATTAACCAATAATTACAATCATTTTATTAATTATAAAATTTAAATTTGAACTACTGCGCGCTAAAAATAACTACTAATTAAAAGTTGGTAATAATGAGTGTCAGAAAAAACAGTTGAGATTTTGAATACGAGGAGTTGAGTGGAACGTTTTATACTGTTTTATATCAGTTGCAGCAAGTTGCAGTTGATTGTAGATCTTCCGAGTCGTGACAGAGTTTTTACACTGGAATTGTTTGCAAAAGAACAACAATTTTTTTTTATTTATACAAAAATTTCAATCGTTGCATGATTTACTTTAAATTTACTTAGTATTACAAAATGGGGGATGTTACACCAAGTGTAGAAAGTATGTATAGTATTGTGTATGTTTACTAATTGTTTTTTAAATTTGTTTAATTATTTATAGGCAAAAAGAATCGCACACATTTTGATTTCTTTGCAGAATATGAATTACTAGTTTCTGGTGGTAAGAAAAATAAAAAGGATGTAGCTTCAGCAAATGAAGAACCAAAAGGTATTCTTATTTCAAACAATACCAATTACTTTTAAATATTTCTGTTCAATATTTTTAGGCCCAAAGACCAGGATACAATATAATTTGCATGAAGAATGGAATAAACTGGTATCTGGTGGCAAGAAAGGAACAAAAGCTAAAACTTTAGCAGAAGCAAGTACTAACCATCAATCTAAAGGTATCAAAAAATATAATTTAATTGTGATAATGTTAATTTTTTTGTAGTTTTAGAAAAACCTTTGCAAAAGAAACTTGTTTATAACCAATCAAGACCTCAGAGAGGTAATTATTATTTGTTACTTGATTTTTAAAATAATAACTTTAATTTTAGAAAATAAGCAACCAAATAAAACTTTAAACTTTGGATTAAAAAGGAATTTAGGTAGATGAGTATATTTCAATTGTAACATGAAAGAAAATTAAAAGATTATTTTAGATATAGAGCAAGACAGTAACCCAATAAAAAGGAAAAAGGTTGATAGTGATGTAACAGGTATTCACATTGAAAATATGTGGGTTTTTATATAAAATAATTATAAATGGTTTTAGATAATTCTACTTCAAAGTTAATAGGATCAATTACTATTAATTCAAGTAATAATCATGTAATTTATTAGTAGCTTTGTTATTGTCATCATATTTAATTTTCAGAATCCAAGGCAAAAAAGAAACTCTTTGGTAGTTCCAGTTCTGACATTTTGAAAAGAAAATCATCAACTCCTGGATCCCATAGGAAAAGAGCAGCAGCAGTTAAATTGGCTTTATCCCAAAAAGAAATTGAACCATGCTATGAATCTGATTCCAGCGATGTAGACCATGCTTCTATGTCGGAGTTTTTAAAATTGGAAAATGAATGCTCCACGAATAATATTTCGCCGCTTTCAGCTCTTAGCAATCAGCTGCAAAAAACGAACATTACCAAGCAGACATCTAAGAATTTAATGGATACGATCAATGAAATAACGGTGAAATTAGAAAATGATTTTAAAAAGTTCAACCAGACCTACACGAAAGGGATCGACGAAGTCAAAAATCAGCTACTGAAACTGGAAGAGAGCAAGTCTATATTTTATTCAGGTTTCGTGCAGAGCATGAAGGAATTGAATGGTCTAAAAGGAAGTCTGGATAAAACCGATGTCGAGAAAATTAAATACATCTGTACACCAAAGTTGAAGAGTGAAAATTTAAGAGTGGCAACATTAAATAAAAATTTAAGCAAAGCCGTAAATGAGAATACAACGCCTGATCGGAATATGAGAGAAGCCGTGAAATTGTACAACTCATTTAAAAGCGACCTGGGCTCTCCGATTCTTGATAGGGCCAATTTACAGACGCCATTGACTACTTCCAAGAGATATATTGCCGTTAAATTGCAGAAACAGTGCTTAATGCTGTGTGATACTCCTTCAAAGATATAATTTATTCATATTTGTTGTTTTGTTTTCATATTTTTTTCTTGATTATTTATTTTGTAAATTTATAACTAATTGTAAAAAAAAAATGACTCGTAATACGAGTGACTGGTTGCGGCCCCCTCAAAATTTCTATATATTTTTGCGTCCCACGATGTGCCAAATGAGACTTCTCTTGTTGAATTCACGTCAATGCTATTCGCATGCAAGAGTTTATCTGGAGTCAATTATGTAGTTTTTTTTTAATATTGACCATTGTAGAAAATTCCTTTTCACACAGATATGTGGTAGCAAAGGCAATAAAACAGGTTACGAATATGTATCCAAAATTGCACCGAACTTTTTTTCTTCTAGTGTTTTTTTGTTATCAAGTTCATTTTTTATTATTATTTATATACAATTATTACACTTCATTTTTTGATGGCATTGAATTATTTTTTTTTTCAAATTCACAATCATTTTTTTCATACAGAAATATTTCATGGCATGAATGCAATTATCAGAAAATATTTCTTGAAAAATAAAAAAATGATAGTATATTTGCTATACTGCACAAAATCGTAAACCAAGACTCATAGAAATTATTTTGATTTGTATATTTTCTGTATTTTTTTTAAATAAAGAGATTTATATCAATTTATTTATTGATATATTTCTATCGCGTCTATATCTCAAGCCCGACAACTGAAATACCGTCTGTTGCAGCGGTCGGGGAATAGGGGCAAATTACCCCAAATGGGGTAAAAATTAATTTTTTGTGGGTAATAGGGAAGTTTTTCTAATTTCATCTTACCAAACTCAGAGAGCGGTTCTCTGACTACTTTCAGATCTTGATATACAAACTGTGATTGGGTTTTAGATCCTTTTAAATGTGTAATTACTAACATACCAGAAGAAC